CCCCATCCATGTGGGGCTCACACTTAGACTGGAGAGATAGACAAGAAATACTTAGAAAAGATGAGTGGGGAAAGGCTGGGAAGGACGGATGAGGCACGGTGACAAAGGGCTGCGTGTATAAAATGGTCTGAAAGAGGTCAGGCGGCGGTGGCGCACGCCTTCAATCCCAGCACTGGGGAGGCAGAGACTGGAGGATCTCTGGGAATTAAAGACCAGCCTGGTCTACAGAGTGAGTTCCAGAACAGGCTCCAAAGTTACAGAGAAACCCAGTCTTGAAAGACGCCCCCTCCCCAAAAAAAGATGGTCTGAAAGGGCCCTTCTGGGAGCTTGCATTTGAACAAATCTCAAAAGGCATGAAGCGAGCGAGCCTTGTAACAGTTGTGTAACCACTGAGAGGGACAGTGAAGCTAAGGCAGTAGCCAGGAGCTGGCCCTCCCCCCAGGCCCATGGTTTCCAAGGTCAGGGACCCCAAAAAGCACCCACACTTGAGCGGTGGGGAGAGTGTGTGGAAGGGGAGGAGGAAACGGCTAAGTCTGTCCCACGTACTCAGCCAGAACAGGGCCGGGGGAGTCTCAGGTAGAGGCAGATGCGGCAGAGGAAACTCAGCGCGCCCGCTTCCCCCACCTGTAGTCTTGAGCGTGCACACCATGGGCTCACGCTGGCTGCCTCTAGTGCTCATATTCACGCACATGTGCATAGGAGCAAGCAGATGCAGAAAGGGCCCGGGTTCACTTTTCACATGAGTGCCAACTGAAAGAGCCCCGTTTAAACACAGCTCCAGTTGTCATGGACGGCCCGGGCTCTCCATACCCATCCTTTCTCCCCGGACACACACTGCTGAAGCGAATCCCAGTGGGAGTGAGCTAGCTTCCTCCCAGGGATTCCTCCAAGCTCTGTACAAGGCCTTTGGTGTGGGTCAGAGACCAGCTCTGCCCTCTGATGGGGCACTGTGACAAAACAATGTTTCTATTTCAGACTGCAGTCCTTTTCCACCCTTTCCAGGCCTCCCTCCTCCTGGCGTCCTTTCTCCCTGGCCACCCCACCACACCCACCTCAGACAAATACCCTATGCTTCACTCTGGCTGTGAGTTTCTGTTAACCTCTCTCCAAGACATTTCCATTCCCGTTTCTGTTTCTCTCCAGCTTTCTCTCCCTGACCACCCCCACTCCATTTTCTCTTTGGGATCTTTTTTTTTCCTGCCTTCCAGGAAAAACTGACGTGGCCTGGCATGGTTCAGAGGCCCCTACAGGCCTCTCGGAGGTGGGGGCTTCCCGCTGAGCAGCCACAGCTGGTGTGGGAATGGCTGCCTTCCTTGGAGGTGGCAGGACAGGAGGGAAGGGAGAGTGGGGGGGGGGGAGAAGGCTGAGTCTGCAGAATGAGGAAGAGAAAGGAAGAAACAAAAGCTATGAGGGGACCTGAGAGCCAACCAACTGTCAACATCTACTGAGCCTGCTCAGATGTGGCGGTGGCAATCTTGCATCCTAGAAAGGCCAGCAGGCCAGCCAGGGCTGACCACTCTGCAAGCTGTCAGAGAACCCTGGGAGCTGGGACCAGGGCTGGCAGAGGGGTCCCTCTTCCCTCTCCTTTCCTCTGGGTCCCTCCTTTGAGGGCTGCTGAAGACCAAATGGCATAGGGCGCTTAAGGATCTGAGAAAAGCTCTCCAATCCTGGGTGTCTGGGTGACAGTTAAGGTCTCACAAGCCCTCTTAGGGCCCACTCTGACCTGAGCAAGGACAGCCCCTGTGGTGGGCTGGGAGCTAACAACAGGCTGGAAGGGGAATGAAGTCTCCCACATTGTATCCTCTGGAGCAGCCTTTGCAGCAAGAGCTTCATCTTGGATCATCAATGGGACAGAAAACAGTTACTTGAAGAGGTTTTGTCCTGGAACAACCCTGAACTACGCCTGGTGTCCTGCTGGGGGTGGTCTACGCATCCCCTTATGAAAATACACAGAAGGTAATATGGGTTGACCAGTAACCCTTTGGTGGCAGAGGAGACACTGCCCTACCCTGATGGCCTTCGTTGGACCTGGTTAATGCAGTGAGTTACCAGTGACTACACATACGGTCTCTTCTGCTTGGGGGGGCACCCCCACTTGCTTCTCTCGCCCTCAGCCTCCAGGGCTGCTCTGAAATGGAATTGTAGGGGTCAGTGTCTGGCTACCATCAAGAGCTTTGATGGTGGGGAATGGAATGAGGAGGCTGGGATTGCTGTTCCTGGAGCAACTAGTGACCGGCCTCTATCCGTGAGAAGTGTGGCTCCCCTACACTCTACACAGATTTTCCGGAGACCCTTCATTGTAAGGAACCTTCCTTCCGCACGCTCCCCCTCCCATTCAGCCTAGAGTTCCCGTTTGTGCCACAATGAAAAGAAGAGATGAACCCTAAATTACTTTCCCTTGTGACCCACCAGCTCATTCATTCACCCAAGGGCTTGCCTGTAAGACAAGTCATCTACACACGGAAGAACAAACGACTGCGAATCAGAGCAAGAGTGGGGAAAGAAAGGCGGGGCCAGGGGGTCAGTGAGGACAGTTAGTGAGAAGAGCCCCAGACTTGGGGGCCTCAGAAGGCTGTGTGATGAGGTATTTCTCCTCCTGCTTCTCCTCCTTCTGCTTCTCCTCCTTCTGCTTCTCCTCCTTCTGCTTCTCCTCCTTCTGCTTCTCCTCCTTCTGCTTCTCCTCCTCCTCCTCCTTCTGCTTCTCCTCCTCCTTCTGCTTCTCCTCCTCCTCCTCCTTCTGCTTCTCCTCCTCCTCCTCCTTCTTCTGCTTCTCCTCCTCCTCCTCCTTCTCCTCCTCCTCCTCCTTCTCCTTCTCCTCCTGCTTCTCCTCCTCCTGCTTCTCCTCCTCCTCCTCCTCCTTCTCCTCCTCCTCCTCCTTCTCCTCCTCCTTCTCCTTCTCCTCCTGCTTCTCCTCCTCCTCCTCCTCCTTCTCCTCCTCCTTCTCCTCCTGCTTCTTCTCCTCCTCCTCCTCCTTCTTCTCCTTCTCTTCCTCCTCCTCCTCCTCCTCCTCCTTCTTCTCTTCCTCCTTCTTTTCCTCCTCCTCCTCCTCCTTCTTCTCCTTCTCCTCCTTCTTCTTCTCCTTCTCCTTCTTTGTTTTTGTTTTTGAGACAGTCTCTCTCTCTCTCTACACAGCCCTGGTTGCCCTGGGACTCTGTAGACCAGGCTGGCTTTGAACTCACAGAGATCCACCTGCCTCTGCCTCCCAAGTGCTGGGTTTAGGACCTGCGCCACTTGATTTCTATTGTCTGTGCCAGAAAGAAGCAGCCACATCAGGAGGGGTTGAGGGAAGGATTGCTAATCTGTCCTTGGGTGGGCTTTAGAGACTGTAAGTGCCTCGGAGGGCCCTTGGGTAGGGCTGACGGCATGGACTTTGTTCAGAGAGTGTGTGCAGCTGTGTTCTGAGAAGCCTAGTGAAGCCCTCGTCACCGGAAAGTTGCCCCTGACAGACGCTGAGGTCACAGACTCCCCTGCTTAGTTGGATCTGGATATGGAAGTCTCCTCCCTCTGTTTATCCCACACAATTCAGGACTTGCCCCCAAATTCTTCCACACACTACAGAAGGTTCCAGAGAAGACTTCCTGGGGGCAGCGCAGAGAACGGCACATCCAAAGGGCTGTAACATCCTAACTTCAGATTTGGTGTTTAGGGCAGCACTCTGGGGTCTTCACAGCCTCGTGACGGAGATGGGTGTGTGTTGGGGGAGCTGGGTGTGTGTTGGGTGACAATACCCATTTCCCCTTGTCCTTGCTGAGAGGGTAAGCTGAGTCACAAGCAGACTCTGTCAGTTAACAGATAGGAAGAGGGCTACTAGGGGAAGATGGATAGGCGTGTGCTGTGGAGGGCAGAGCCGTCCATGCTAGGAAGTTGTTTTCTGGCTCCCGTGCTCTTTGGTTCCACTCCAGGTCTTTTGGCTTGGGCCTCTTCCTTGCTCCATTCCTGTCCACAGTCCTTCCTGTTTGGAGATTAAGGTTTTAAATCCCTCCCACAAGACGTAGCTGCCCCCTTTCACACAGTGTGGGGTGGTAGATCTCAGAGGTAGCACTGTTTGGCATCTATGACAGGTCTTGAACACTGTGGGCACTGAGCCACAGAGACTATCCGTGAAGTGAGGTGCCTCAACATTGTTCTGAGTGCTGGGCCCTGGACCATGGAACCTCTTGTCTACAAGCCAGGGTGTCCAGAATCCTCAGCCAGTGACACATCTGCCAAGGCTGATTTCTGCTCTCTGTCAGGCATGCTGTTATCCTGCCTGCACACACACACCCGGCTCAGTGTGGGGCTGAGGCCTTGGGAGCTCCCTGCCCAACAACCTCATCCTGCAGGATATATTTACTTAAAAAAACAAAGAAGGAAGGGAGGGAGGAAAGAAAGAACTGCCTAACATTTTGGTTTCTTGCCCAGGGGCTGGTGACTGTTCCCTACACTCTGACCCTGACAAGTTTTCATTGAGACACCCCAGCACACCCACCCCCACACAAAGACACACACCAAGAGAGACACACAGGAATGCACACTCACCAAGAGACTAATTCATACCCATATGCAAACACACTGTCACACAAAAGCATCCCCAGTCTCCAGCTCTCGTGGGCACGGTGTCTCCTGCTGCATGTCCCTAACATACAGACTCATCCACACATGGCAATACCCACTCTCCCCCACCAAGCCCACAGCACACACTCAGCTGCACACACAAGCAGCAGCACAGCCAGGAGGGGAGGAAGGGCCCCCTGCTTTTTCCTTGTTGGAAGTGAGGTTAGAAATTTCCCACTTTCCATGAGATCCAGTTTCTCACCCTTCCCCCAATTTAAAAAAAAAAAAAACTCGGCCTCATCTTTTCTTGGGTCCTGCCCAGACAGTGCTGTGACTTTAAGGAAGTTGGAGCTAGGAGAGAGAGAGAGAGAGAGAGAGAGAGAGAGAGAGAGAGAGAGAGAGAGAGAGAGAGAGAGAGAGAGAGAGAGAGAGAGAGAGAGTGCATATGAACAACCCAAAATTTGGCCCCTTTCCCCTCCAGTTTCTGGTGTCATTTATGAAGCAAGGTCCCTGTTGCTGAAGCTCAGTTTCGTTTTGTTGAAAGGAGTCTAGGCTGCACAGAGCCTTCCCTGCAGCCTCTGCTCGGTGCTGTCTCTGGCACTCTGGTCAGCAGAGCAGAGGGTGTACAGAGCAGCCAGCCCCCTCCTCCAGCATCCTGGTCGTGCTCTGGCAGTCCTGGTCTTGTGGAATTCCAAACAATCCAGTCCTTTGGTGCTTTGGTTCCATCAAAAGGGTCTCAACTTGACTTCAGAAGAGCAGTTTGGAGGTGAGTCAGGGAAGAAGCCCCCAACCCCCCGCAGCTGGGGGTGAGGGCGTTGTGGGTGGAGGTCTGCTCGACTTGGGCTGGTTTGTTCTTCCATCCCTGTGGGTTTGACGGACTTGGAACAGGCCCTTTCTCCACAGAGCATCTGCTTGGACAATCTCAACTCCAGAACTCCCAGCTGCATTTGGGATGAGCCTCCGGCCCCCCTGCCTTAGTTGAGAGGTCCTGGTTGGTTTACTTAGGCAGCTGCCTGGGGTAGTTTGAACAGAACAGGCCACCGAGTGGGAGGGGTGGGTGGGGTAGAGGGGGTGTGTGCATTGCACAAGGGGCCTTGTCTGGACCAAGGCAGCAAAACATACCTATGGGGGGCTCCAGTGGGAGGGGCTGTAGCCAGGATGTGGGAGGGCAGAAGGGAGGTTCTGTGAAGCACTGGGGGAGGGGTGGCTGGAAAACAGATTTCAAGTCATAAAGTCAGCTAGGAACAGGCCGAGGCAGAAAGAGCTCTATGCAGAGGAGAAGCTGGGGTCCACTTCCATCCTGTCTTCACCTTGCCTGCCTACACAACCTTGGCAAGTCCAAGCCCTCCTATGGGCCTCCGTTTCTTCTCCTATAGAGTGAGGGTGGTGGGTTAGGTGGTGTTGGATTCTGTCTGGGTTATGAAGGGCCTTGTAATGGTTGGGGTCTGAGGAGGGACAAGTCCTTTCTGTGACTCCTTAAGCTCACCTAGGTGGCATGCCCTTCCCCGTAGGAGGTACCATGCAGGTACTGTGCCTGCTTTGCTGGGCTGTTCTCCTGAACCTGGTGCAAGCTTGTCCGGAATCCTGTGAGTGTGGAGAGAAGTATGGCTTCCAGATTGCAGACTGTGCCTATCGTGACCTAGAGGCTGTGCCACTAGGCTTCCCAGCCAATGTGACCACACTGAGCCTGTCAGCCAACAAGCTGCCAGGCCTGCCGGAAGGAGCCTTCAGGGAAGTGCCTCTACTGCAGTCACTGTGGCTGGCACACAATGAGATCCGCTCGGTGGCTGCCGGTGCCCTGGCCCCTCTGGGTCACCTCAAGAGTCTGGACCTCAGCCACAACCTCATCTCTGAGTTTGCCTGGAGCGACCTGCACAACCTCAGCGCTCTGCAGCTGCTCAAGATGGACAGCAACGAGCTGGCCTCCATCCCTCGGGACGCCTTCCGCAGCCTGCACGCCCTACGTTCTCTGCAGCTCAATCACAACCGCCTGCACGCTTTGGCCGAGGGCACCTTTGCGCCACTCACCGCACTGTCCCACTTGCAGATCAATGACAACCCTTTTGACTGCACCTGTGGCATTGTGTGGTTCAAGACATGGGCCCTGGCCACGGCAGTGTCTATTCCAGAGCAGGACAACATTGCCTGTACTTCACCACACGTGCTGAAGGGCACCCCACTGCGACGCCTGCCACCCCTGCCCTGCTCAGCACCCTCAGTGCAGCTAAGCTACCAGCCCAGCCAGGACGGAGCTGAGCTGAGGCCTGGCTTTGTGCTGGCCCTCCATTGTGACGTGGATGGACAGCCGGCCCCCCAACTTCACTGGCATATCCACACCCCCGGTGGCACAGTGGAGATCGCCAGTCCTAACGTAGGCGCTGATGGACGTGCCCTACCTGGTGCCCTTGCAGCCAGCGGGCGGCCACGCTTCCAGGCCTTTGCCAACGGTAGTCTGCTTATCCCTGACTTTGGCAAGCTTGAGGAGGGCACCTATAGCTGTCTGGCTACCAACGAGCTAGGCAGTGCTGAGAGCTCTGTGAACGTGGCATTGGCCACTCCAGGTGAGGGGGGGGAGGATGTGCTGGGGCGCAGGTTTCATGGCAAAGCAGTGGAGGGCAAGGGCTGCTACACAGTTGACAACGAGGTGCAGCCGTCTGGCCCCGAGGACAACGTGGTTATCATTTACCTCAGCCGTGCTGGGGCCCCAGAGGCTGCAACAGCAGCAGAAGGGAAGCCTGCACAGCCGCTCTCGGGCCTGCTTCTGCTGGGCCAAAGCTTGCTTGTTGTCTTCCTTGCCTGCTTCTAACCACACCCTTCCCAGCTGCTGGAGCAGCCCCAGGGCCTTCCTAACTCCTCCTGACCCTGCCAATGTTCCTTCTAAGTACCATGAGGTCTGGAGTTGGTGAGGCCTGAGGTTGGCCTGGGGACTTCACATTTTCCTACCTCCCTTTCTAATCTTTTCCAGGCCACTCATTATTCCAACTTGTAGATCTGCTCAGAGCTAGCAACTAGCATAGAACCTTATCCCAGAACTCATCGTCTCTGGTGCTGATTGCTGCTAACAGCATTGCCCATGCTCCTAGCAAGGGCAGCATGCTAACAGGGCAACAATAATGCCCTAACCCTGGCCCACTTTGAGAGTTCTGGCACTGAGGTAAGGAGCTTGGGAGGCCACCCAGGTGGGCACTGGGGCTGGGCTGGAAGGGAACCTGGAAGTGGCCGGTACAGGACCTGGAAAGGAGGTACTACAGGCAGGGGCTGGGAAGGCTAAAAGCTCTCCCTGTCTTCTTGATGCCCTCTGGTGAAATGTGGAAACTGTGGTTCGGCCTCCCTCTCCTCTCACCCCCAATCCCACAGCCTGTGCCTGCCTCTTGAGATACTTGCCCCTCCTTTATTTCCAACTATGCACCAGTAGCCTGACCCTCCAAAGAGGCTAGCCAGTCTGGGGTAGCAGAAAAAAAAATAAACAGCATTTCTTATGCTCCCCTTCGTCTGCCTGGAATTCTGTTGGGATCAGAGTCCTTATGAGAGATGGGACAGCCACATGTGAGAGTTGTACCAACACAAGACAGGGACCTGTAGGATGTATCGCAGGGAGGACAGCCCAGACTCATCGCTGCACCTTGACATGAGCAAGCTGTAGATTTTCTGTCTCCAAACTGGCTCATGGGACAGGTGGGATGGGAACCTGGCATCCTTTCTGTGTTTTGGAAGGGGTAAGGCAAGAGGCTTGAGTTGTAGACCCAAGAAGAGTGTTAGGAATAGAGTTGGGGTCAGATGGAACCAGAGCAAGAAATGAGACCGAAGGATAGGGAAGTAGGGGACAGAGGACAAGAAAGAAGCTGAAGGCAGCCTGGAGGAAGGGGACACTGCACCTGGGCTTTCCCTCTAGAAAGAGGAAATGGCCCAGAAGGGGTGCTCCAACGGAGTAGAACCCTCTGACCTGAGGGAGAACTGGGAGTCGGGGGCTAGCCACAGCGGTGGGGCTGTAGACAGGTCTGCCAGTGGAGACGCTGCAGAATGCCATGCCTGGGCTGGGTTGGAGGTGTCTCCCTATTCTCCACCTTTGAAGGTTGGATGTGGACACACAGGGATGGTGACCTCAGGGGAAGGGGCGGGATGGTGACCTCAGGGGAAGGTCTGCCTCCCTTCCCAGAGCCCCAGGACTGCTGAACTCAGCAGAATGAAGGCAAGAGGTTGAGGAGTCCGGAGGAGCAGCTGTGAGCTTGGCAGCTGGCCAGGCCCTCCCCGACACTGGGGTCCACATGCAGGGCCTCCTTCTACCCTCATCCTTTCCTGACTTGTGGCTCATGCTGAGTCTTTGTTAGCCATCGGCCAGCCGGAGTCAAGAATGTCTTCACATCCAAGAGGAAGCACCAAGATGGCCCCATATCCTATATGCTGTGTTCCTTTGGGTATGTTACGGCACATCTCTGGGTTTCAGTTGTGTCAGAAATCAAGTGGCAGAGAGCCAGGAAGGTAGCTGAGTTGGCAGAGTGCTTGCCCTGCATGTGTGAGGCCCTGGAGTAGTGATGCATGTCTGTAATCTTGATACCCAGGAGGTGGGCACTCAGAAAATAAAGTTAGGAAGACCAGATTCTTACAGTACATAACAAATTTGAGGCCAGCCTGGGCTAGATGAGACCATATCTTCCAAAACACAAAGAAAAGGCAGTGTCTAAAGGTCGAATGACTCTGGACTTGACAGTTCTGACTTGGAGCCCAGCATCCCCATTCCACTCACCCCTGAGCAGGCCGGGTGTCTTGATGGTCCACCTAGCACCTGTCACTTACCACTTGGGCATTGCAGCATGGGAACTCTTGTGTCCAAGTGAACTAGCTACTCCTTTGCTTTGCTCTGAGGCTTCTACTGTCCTCAGAGTACAGCATGAATTCCCAGCCAGCCATGGACCCTCTGACTGACTCCTCCCATGTGGACCACCCCATGTGTGGTTTCGTACAATGCCTGAAGAAGCTGCATCACCTCCATCTTTACATACCCATGCCCGCCCCTCCCCCAACACACCCTTTTCCTGATCTTCATCTGGCTGAATCAGTTTTCTACATATCCTCCTCCGAGATGTTTTCTTGAATCTTTTCCCACCTTCAGTGTGAATCAGGTCCCTTCCTTTGACCCCTTGTCTTGTGACCCAGCCAGATTAGATTCTGTTGTGATTGCTTCCTTGTTAAGGGCAGAGGCAGCGTTGGAGTCATCCTCCTGTGTCTGTGTGGGTTATTGATCCCCACATAGAAGACATTTTGCAGTGGGCTGAGGGGGACCTTAGAACATGCTTTCTTTGGCCCCTGACCAGTTCAGAACATGGATTTAAGGAGCTAGGAGGTAGCTCTGGTGACCCTTGCATGTGCTTGATCTATAGTTGGGAACAAACAGGCATGATTTTGAGAGACCCTGACCCAAACAGAGTGGGGAGGCATGGTGAACCCTATTAAAAGCATCTCTCTGATTCATGCATCTTCCGTCTCCTCCAGGACCCCAATGTGCCTGCATCTCCAATGTCCCCCTGCATCCTTGGCCTTGCCTTTAGCCTCCTCTGCTCTGAACGACAGCTTTCTCTTCTCTGTTCCTCTCTTTATTCCTTAGAGTCTCTATCTATCATTCCTGCAACCTCTTCTCCCCAGATCCTGCCTGTCCTTTAAAACCCGGAAGTCCAGGAATGGCATCCTAGGGTCCCCAGACATCATCACACAAAACAGGGGGTTCTCTCTATCCTCACCCGGTATCCATCCCAGCACCCCAAGTAACCTCCTACTCCCCCAAATCAAGTTTGGATTACATTTACTGACAGTGTAGGTGATTCTCCTGAGAGCCCTCCCCCATAAGGAGGAATGTTCCTCAGGGCACATTTATTACCAAAAACACACTAACTTCTTTCATGACAACTAACGGCATTAAAACTACAAAAATATGTAGCTCTTGGAGTTGGCAGCTCAGTGGGGCCTCTTGGAGTCTGATTTGGCTGCACAGGGAAGGGTGGTAAGAAGAGAGAGGAAGGAGAAATCTGGGGCAGAGAAGAAACCCACACAGGCTCCACCTTCAGGCTGGGAGGGTTGGGACCGAGGTGGGGCCAGCTGGGATGGGAGATATCCAGACCTTTCGTCCTCAGCAGTGAGCAAGAGGGGCCTCAGTGAGGCCCAGCAGGCAAGCTGAGGGCAGAGCCAGTGCCGGAAGGAGAGGCCTAAATGTGGCCACCCCTGTTCTGCCAGTTCCAAGAATGAGAGCCCACCATCTGGTTTCTCTAGAGCCCTAGCTGGTAGCCTGGTGGACAAGCACAGACCAACGTCCTCAATGTCCTCTTGAGGCTGGTGGTGTAGACACAGTGACTCCAGTCTCCTGATCCCGCAGGGATCTGCTGGCTGACAGAGTTGCCACTGGGGGAGGGGGAATGCTGACATGGACGACGGGAGGGAGTATGGTAGACAGGAATGTGCCTCAGCACATACAGCAGGGTGGCATGGCTTTCCTCACCCTCAGGGCTGGGTGCCATTGGCCTTGGCACCATTTAGGGCTGACTTCCGCAAGGCCTGCAGACTTGGGTTGTGTAGCAGCGTGTAGGCCAGACCCCAACGGGCCCTACTCTGGCTGCCCTTGGGTCCTGCTCTCTTGGCCAGCAGGTCCTTGGTCTGTAACAATTGCATCCCTGAGAGAGAGAGAGAGAGAGAGAGAGAGAGAGAGAGAGAGAGAGAGAGAGAGAGAGTGCTCTGTGAGTTCCAGCCAAGCTTCCACTGGCCCCAGACCTGAGAGGGGTCTGAAACTTCCAGGCACAGCCAGGGTTCCAGCTGCTAGCTTGGGAATGGCGGAAGTATGGGCTGCAGAAGCATACCACCCTGCTGGTGGAAGAGGAGGGAGGAGATGAGGTCTGTGAGGAATTAGAAGCTGTCAGGCTAGACTGCAGAAGGTGGGGGGTTGAAGGTGTGAGGGGAGGCTTAGGGTCTTCTACCATAGACCTTCTGGGCAGAGAAGGAGGTGTTGTCTCTCTCTAGGAGGAAGCCAGGAAGGAGAGTCAGGACAGTCATTCTAGTCTCTGTGCACACATAAGGTACGTGGGTGTGCAAGTCAACATTAAAGAATTACCCTGAGACCCAGTCAGGAGGGTGACAACAGGAAACTGAAGGACAGAGGATGGGAGACTTCCTGCTGCTCACTATTTTGGAGAGGCCTCCTGTGACTCCTTCCTGAGAAATTGGGAGTCTGCATCCCCAACCCAGATGAAGAAGTACCTTCTTCTTCCTCTGCTTGTCTGAGGCCATCCTGGGGGCCCAGTGCGGGCCGGGGCTGTGGACTTGGCGCATGCAGGAGCAGGGTGCAGAACGCTATGACTGCTGGATGTGACTGACTGGCCTCAATCCTCAGGAAGTTTCGGTATGTGCGATAGCCTAGGATAGGTTGGAGACAGATTGCTGAGGTGTGGGGAACCCATGGCAGACTAGAGGTACCCAGAAACAGCAAGAGGCATCCAGGGAGATGTGTACACACTGGCATCCGACCAAGCACGGCACACACACACACTACATACAGGCACTGGCACTTTTGTTAGAATACACCACAGACACCCTGCTGCACAGGCTTGTTCTGCACCAAGAAGCTCTGGCATTTCTCAGAACACTCACTGTACACACCTGTGGAGCCCTGGCAGTGCACACACACACACACACACACACACACACACACACACGCACACGCACACACGCACATGACCTTACACCACAGAGCCTTGCAATGCTCACACACCTGCTACACATGCACACAGAAGCATACATGCACAGATCAGCTCAGAGGTCGGGGTGGGGAAACTACTTGGACAGCTCAGCCCTCAGTCCCTACCTGGTGACCTTACCTGGGTCCAGGGAAGCAGCTCTTTGTGGCAGCAGGCTGAGGTCCATCTGACCAAGGTGAACAGTGTTGTACACACAAGAGAGAATCACCCGCCAGATGACCACTACCATGCCCACCAGCATGTTGATAGGGAAGAGAAGAAAAGTGGCTACACAGAGCATGCGCCTGGGGGTAGAGAGGAGAAAGGCTGAAGCAGGCCGTCCCCATACCCAGTCCCGTGCTACAGCCCCGTGCTCCAGGCATGCTGTTATCCAGTGACTGACATTTACTGGAGGTGCTTTTTGCACCGCCCAGAGAAACCAAAGTTTCCTGGCAGGTGTCTTCCTCTATCACTCTCTCCCTTGGTTTTTGAGGCAGGGTCTCTCACTCAACATGGAGCTCACTGATTTGGCAAGACTAAGTTGACCAGCAAGCCCCGGGGATCCTCCAGGCTTGTGCCACCATTATGTGGGAGCTGAGAATCAACTGAATCCAAGTCCCCAAGCGAACACGACAAGTACTTTACCAACTGAGTCATCCCTCCACCTGATTCTGTATAACCCTAGTGTTCCCACCTTCCTCCTCTGCTCCCCCTGTCCACAAACTCCGGGCTCTACTTTGGAGCCAAGATTTTCTCACACCCTTGCTCCCAAGTGAGGATGAGCTTGTGAAGAAGAGACCATCAGCGGTCCTCAAAGCAAGAAAGGGTCCTGGCAGAGCTCAGTAATAGAGTGTGTGTCTACCATGCCCTAGGCCCTGGGTTTGCAAGGCCATGGGTTCTTAGCACCCCCAAAATCTCCTGAGAGAAGACTGACTCTGTGAAAGACAGGAAAGAGGCATTTAATTTTTTGGTTTGTTTATTTGTTTGTTATTTACTTTACTTTTATCCCATGTGGATTGGTGTTTTGTGTGAATCTGTCTGTGTGAGGGTGTTGGATTCCCTGAAACTGGAGTTAGAGACAGTTGTGAGCTGCTGTGTAGGTGTTGGGAATTGACCTTGGGTCCTCTGGAAGAGAAGCCACCACTGAACCATCTCTCCGGCCCCAGAAAGAGGCATTTTAGAAGGCAAAATCTGCAGAAAGAGAGAAGATCCTGAGACCCAAGGGAACCACAAACTCAGGGGTCATCTTACTTGTTGGTCAGTTCTGGGTAACCATGGCGAGTCTCCAGGAAGATCCAGTGAGCTGCTATGTTCTGCAGGATTACAGCCAAGACCAAAGTCAACCAGAAGGGCCTGTATGCAGGCAGAGTGAGGAAAGAGGTGTTGTTAGAGGCCCTATGGAAAGTCCCAGAGTCCCTGATCATTGCCTCACTTACCACGTGGATTCCAGGGATTGGAGGAGCAGGAGGTTCCTGCCATGGAACAAAGGCATAAGCACCAGGAAGGCCAGGATGGTGGTCCCCAAGAAGAAGATGACCTGCTGCACCAGGAGCCCTGCAGGGGGCAGAAGGGACAAGGGGACAATAAGGTTCTGTGGGAGCCAGCTTACCTGTGCACTCCAGGAAGCTTCTGTGGCCACTTACATTCCATGTCACCACCTGAGCCCTGGATTTTTCTTCTATAAAATAGGGATAATAGTCCCTGCCTTGGAGGGCTGTTGTAAGACTCCAGTAACCTCAGAATCCATGGTGTTGCCCCCAACTTGAGCCTGAGTTTTGGGGCACAAATCACCTTTTAAATGAGCATGTGTGTGCCTTTGAATCAGAGCTTAGTACCTGTAGGGACTGAGTGTGGCTGTGGAAGCCATCGGGCCACACAGTCACCTGGGAGACTTGGGAGGTCTAAGGTTGACCAAGGTGAGAACACAACTTTTAGTTCTACTCTTTCCTCCATCTTGCATCACCTTCCCTCCTCCCCTGGGGGAGAGTGGGAGATCTCAGAGCCAGGTTTGGCCTTTGGACCTGCAGGAGAGGCCAAGTTCCTCACAGTTCAAGAGTGTTGTGCACTGCGGTGTCTAAGGGGAGAACTTGAGACACGGTCTAGAAAAGTCCTTGAGGGTCATCTGTCCAGACTGTCTCAGGCAGCACTGCTATGTAGCCCTCCCATGCCCACGGAACCTTGCTTGCATTCCCGGGAACGAGGAACTCTTCACCTCCATGTAGCCCATTATGGACAGCTTTCCCTTGCAGGAGCAGCCATGTGCCGCCTTGAATGTTCCATATCCAGACGCAGTTCCACTCTGCCCACAATTACCCAGGTGTACATTCATGTGAAGGGCTCCCCTTTCTGGGGGCTCCTGCACTGCCACCCGGAGCAAGTTTCCTGAGAGCCAGCAGGGTGGGGAGTAGGTTCCTCCTACTGCTCTTTCCCTGCCCAGCCCAGGAAGACCCTTGCCAAGTATCCATCCCTCCTACCGGGGCCAGCTCTAGGAACATGGCAAGGGGGCTCACCGAGGCAGCTGAAGACTGTCTGATAGGCGCTGAAACTCATCCAGCAGACTATGGCTTGACGAGAGGGGTGAGTGCTCTGAAGTGGGGGGCCCAGGTCCAGGGAAGCCCCTCGGTGCAGTGCTTGAAGATTAGCCCTGGAATGAGAACAGTGACCTCGGGGGACAATGCAGTACCTCTAAATGGCAGCCCAGGGCAAGCATCTGGCCATCAGCAGGGAACCTTAGGGCTGCAGGTGCCTGGAGGTTAACAGTCTGGGAACAGTCCTCCAGAAGAAGTAAAGTCTGTATAGGCTTAGAAGACCCCAAATAGAGGCACAACTGGAACCATCACTGGAAATGATGGAGTTGGAATCCAGATGGGCCACCAGGGAGGCAGGCAAGGCAGAGGGCCTCAAATGCCAGGGCAAGCAGAGCCAGCTCTGTGGTCTAAGTCCCTGAGTAGGAACGGTGAGGCCTGCTGAGTGCTCAGAGTAGGGGGACCAGCTCTCTGCATTGCTCATTTCTTAGAAAAACCTCCCCAGTACCTCTCTACCTTCTGGGGTACCTGTTACCCCCGCCTTCCACTTCTCTGCCCTTACTCATGCAGTCACTCCTGCCTTTGGTACCCTTTGTCCCTCAGCTTGCCTCTCTTTGACCATCGGAATTGGAGTCTTCCTTACCAGCCCTCCCAGGTCGCCTTCTCACAGGCAAACTCCCTGGTGGTCCTGGCAATGTGTCATGCCCTGTACCACTCACAGATCTCCAGGACATCTAAACATGCCCCCGGGGCAGACAAGGCCCACCCTCTCACCCCACCACACGCAGTCAAGGGGGCAGGACTTGTATCTCTGCCCTACCTCTGCACTGGAGTGTCAGGGTTTGTCACTGACCTGTGAGTGCCCAGGGAGCGGATCAGGAGCAGGAAGGTCAATGAGCAGGATAAGACCAGAGCCGAGATGTAACATGCTGGATGAGAAAGAGAGAGAGCGGGGAAGACGAACTGGATTTTCCACAGCCTCTGACCCCTATACCAAACTCTAAGGGGAAACCACTAGGCCCCAGCTCAAGTTCTTAGGTCCAGCACGAGGTGACACCCTCTACAATGCCACCCTGCCCAGGAACAAGAAAGAGAAGGCATCTTGGAGCCACAGGCCTGGCCTTCACCTTGGTTTTGTTGATTACATTGCTATGACCCCTGCAATGGGAGATTCCTACCTGGCATCTGCCTGCGGCTCCCCTCTTCCTGCCAATGTGGCTGGCCCTCGAAGGGGCCTTGTGACAATCACAAGCTCCCACTGGTGGCCATGCTGCTGTGGCCCACCTCCCAGAATGGCCCTGGCCATAAACCCATCTGCACTTGTAGTAGTGACTTTGTTCAGACCCCAGAGAGTCATGACGTGCACCTGTCATAGTGAAGGAGCTGCCACCTGTTACCTATCTCTTCTGGGTGGGGCCCTTCTTCTCAACTCTCTCCCCCACATACCTCACCACACACAGAGACACTGAGACAGTCAGGTCCACAGACTGTGATGGAGGGCAGAGAGCTCTGAATACACATGTAAGAATGTGATGGAGGATAGAGAGCTCTGAACACATGTGTAAGGATATCATGGATGCAGCTGACATGCTCTCCTCAACCCACATGCCAGCCAGCCGTACTCTAGACCCTCACAGCAGGCCCACAAGTTCTCTCACAGGAATTGTTCAGGGAGGGCTTAACAGCTCATTCCCCATTCTCTGTCCTACACTACCAGCATGCCCTGGGATTGTGTCAGGAAAATATGTAAAGCAACCACACATCCATCTGCAATGTTGGCATCCTAAGCTCTAACCATTGTGTGCTATTTCCCCAAAGCCAGAATGCTCATTCAGCAAGGGACCCTCAAATGAACCAATAGGACAGGTCCCATGAGTCATGACTCTCAGGCTTTATAACAGGGTGGAAGGGTGCCCTAACTTGGACTTCAGGAGACCTACATCCTATCTACTGTGTCTGGTTGTACCACCAGAATCTGGCCCCTCCCCATGTGTCCCGCACAAAGCTGCTGGGAGAGGGTACGGGTGGGTAGGAAGGTAGCCATAAGGCCTATCAGACCACTGAAGGGACAGCTTGTGTTGTCCCCTGGCTTGAGGCTCATCTCATGGGAGTCAGGGAGAGGGAGAGACCGTCTCGGTAGACAAGGATTGGGAGGGGAAAGTGGGTGCTCTGCCAGGTGCAGCCTGAGCCAAGAGGATTGCCCATAAATCCCAGCCCCCATCCCACTTACGTGTCTTCTCCTCCCTTTCCACCCTGAAGCCACACAGCCATGGGCTTCTCTGCTGGACAGCTAGCCAAAGACACTGGGACTGGGGGAAGGGAAGATGTCAGAGGTCGACGAGGATCATGATCTTAGGGATGTGAAAGCGCCAGCCGCCCCATTTTGAGGTGAGGAGTAGGAAGGTGCATGACCAAAGGCATCCTGTGTGTTCACGGCAGGCTGTCATCCGGTCTAGTAGCCTGTATCCCGTCCTGCTATTGCCTTTAGGGACACCAGGCAAGCTCACCTTCCAAAGCCCACAAGTGATGCTTCACCAGTTTTACCACCTCCTGCCGGTCCTTGGAGAGCACGATCCCAAAGCCAGCCAGCAGGTAGGAGACTTCTGTGGTGATCTCTGCCCTTACCTTCTGGATAGTAGGCACTACGCTCACCACCAGCAGCAGGGCCACCTGGAAAAGCCCGGCTATGAGGTTCGGGAGGAGAACCAGCTATGTGCATACCAGGCCCTGCCACCCTGAAAAAGTGTTTCCTAGTCTACTAGGGGAGACTGTGGCAGGCTGCATCCACACGTCCCAACTGCCTTGAGACTGGGTCCTTCTGCCTTCGAACAGAATGGGACATGAATGCATGACTTTATCCCAGGAGGCCGAGGATAGACCTCCATACAGCTATTCAGTTATCTCTACTGGTCTACCTAAGACTCAAAATACAAACATTTCCAACTTTGTGCCTCAATTTCCCATTTGTAAAATGGAGAGAAACCAGACCTACATCATCCCAGGGGTTTGTTTTATTATCATTATTGTTGTTGCTTACTTGTTTGTACTTTGAGACAGGGGTTCCTCTAGTCCAAGCTAGCTTCAAACTCACTTTCTAGCTGGACTATAAAGATCTTGGACTTCTGAGCCTCCCGTCTCTACTTCCTAAACACTGGGACTACAGGCATATGCTTCTGTGATGCTAGGGATTAGCCCAGGGCTTCATACATGTAGGCAGGAACTGTACCAATGAAGCTCCAGCCCTAGTCCCTGGTAGTTTGATTTTGAGAGTTATGCTAAAGGTAGTAGTGATTTATTCAACATGACCACTCACAAAATCTTCCCAACATAGAAAAGTGGCTTATTTCTTCTCTTTTATAGATAGGCTAATAGGTTCAGGAAGGTCACTCAAGAGGTAAACAATGGAGGTACAATTTAAATCCATATTTATGTTGACTTTGAAACTTGTGAATCCTCACATGAACCTGCTGAGGGCTGGCATCCCTCCCACTGGACAGACCAGTGTTTCCAGGAGACACAGAACAGCTGATTGGATGGGGGGGCATGCCTGGGGATCGAATTGAGGCCTGAGCTGTCTCCGGTTTGGAGGCTGAAGTGAGGGGTTCAGGTTCAGAGGACCCTACAAACTTCAGGACATACCTGGTAAGTGGCTGTTCCTGTCAGAGTGGCTGAGATCACCAGCTTCAAGGGCAGGTGGAACCCTATCATCACCAGAAGAAGGCATGAGGAGAACAGTGTGACCCAGGCTCTGGTCCCATCCCTTTCAGGCCAGGCCAGTGTACTCCCTGACCAGCACTGGCAGCTGAGCCTACACATGAGGAATAGGTTGACCCGTCCCACCAGCTTCTCTGGGCAAAGGCTCAACCTAACCCTGGGCTTCCACTATGCCACATACCTGGCTGTGGAGTATAGATGGAGTGTTGGAAACAGGCCCAGGCCCAAGACAGGAAGCTATGCTTGGAGATGGGGCGGGAGCTGCAGACAGATCCAGGTGGGTGGAGCCTCAGGAGAAGCCCTCTGCTCCAAGGCCACATCCAAGTTGGGTCACTCTTATCTTTCCCAGAACCATGCCACTACCAGGAACCTCCTCCACAGCTCTTCCCTGGCCCCATCCTCCCACCCACAGCTCCCAGAACCCCACCATCTTCCTGCCTGCTGAGGTCTGCCCAGACCTTACCGGCTGTCCAGCTTCTTTGGGCAGAGGAGGGCCCTCAGATACTCCTCAGAGTAGCTGGTCTGCAGCCCCTGTGTGGACAAGTGTTGAAATGGCTGTGATCTGCCACCAGCTGGCCCTAGCCAAGGATGCTGAATGGATGAATGGACACCAAGTGATTTCTTTAATGTCTCCTGATTAGGACAGTGGGGACAATATGGGGAGGCTGACCTATGAGCTATGGGAACAAGGATCATACCCTGGAAAGCTACATTCTCCACAATAAAGACCACTCAATCTCCTATCACAAAGCCTGCAATGCTGGGAAGTTCTTCCTAAGACCCTCCTCTTAGTCATATCTCAGTTTTCTGGCATCTTCTAGCCAGGACTGCTGCCAAGGGAAGCCTGGGCCCCATGGACTCACTGCTGCTCAGGACACAAGATGGTGCCAGTCTAGGGTACATACCCTAGGTCCCCCTCCTGCTACTGCTTACTCTAGGGAGATCACAGGGGAATGGGATTTACCTAAGCCACATTCCAGGCCTTAAGCTGCCTACACAGTGGCAGAGACCCATGGGAATGTGGGGTGAACCTCTGCTTGGATCAGTGGGAGAATACAGGCAATGACTACCTGTTTCCATGGCAACCTGGGGACCCAGGGTAGGAGTGGGTCCCTTGTGGCTTAAATTTTTCTGACTAACGTCCAAAAAGTGTTTAATATTCGGAGAAGAGGCTTGCCATGGGACAGAGGGGGGCAGAGGGAAGCTGGGAGGTGGTGGGTGTCTCTAAGTACAAGTACCCAAGCCACTGTGACCTCTGGGGGACCCCAGGCTTCACAGAGAGAATGTAAACATCAGGAAGGCAAAAGTGGTGAGCAGTTAGGGTCCTGCTATGTGTGGATAGCAGATCTGGAACCCAACCAAGAGTCAGGGGCCTCCCCAGTCCTCATGCTTCCCTCCCCTCTGCCAGCTTCAGCTCAGTGCCTTCCAAGGCCCCTCTGCCAATCTGTGACCCAAGCAGTAAGCACCCAGGAGAACGCCACCCTGGGTGGTCCTGCTCCTTGGCTACCAGCCCTAGGTCAGCGGGACGGGGCGGGGGGGGGGGGCACGGGGAAGGCTGTGTTGTTCAAGTCGGTGCTTGTGTCCAGAGATATTCAGTGAGGCGGAGTTTAAGCTGGGTTCTCCCCCATCTCTTTGCCCTTGCTTCCCCCCACCGCCAGCCTGTGCCTTACCCCATCTGGCCCTCACCTTGGTCTCCCCACTCCCTAGGTCTCGTGACCTCTTCATCTATATCCCCATGGCTACAGACTCAATGCATGGCTGTCTGGGCTTGCTGCGGTACACATCTCAGGGCACTGCCTGCAGGGGGTCCCAGTGAGTAAATTCTGAAGTCACAAATTCCAGCAGGCACCTGGCACAGGGGAGGTGCTCAGGAGCTTCTGGATAAGTTCTTAGTGTCCTTCGAGAATGCCGTCTTGTCATGAGGTATCCATCTACAGCATCCATCCCTCCAAACAATTCCACAACACTTTCTTTTCTTTCTTTTTAAAAAACGACCCCCCCTCTTTGTTTGGTTGGTTTTTTGTTTGTTTTGTTTTTCAAGACAGAATATCTCTGTGTGCCATGGCTGTCCAGGAGCTCACTCTGTAGACCAGGCTGGCCTCAAACTCAGAGATCTGCCTGCCACGGCCTCCGGAGAAGTGGAGTTAAGGGCGTGCACCACCACTGCCTGGCCAAAATACTCTTATATCCTTGGCTGCGCTTGAACTTCTGGTTCTCCTGCCTCCACCTCTAAAGTTCTGGGAGCCACCATGCCCAGTTTACTTGGTGCTCAGGATCAAACTCAGGGCCTCAAGCATGCCAGGTAAGCATTCTACCAACAGATAAAACCTCAGCCTCGTGGAGGATCTCCTACATGCTGAGGTCTGCCCTGGCACGGGTGGGTGTGAAAAGCACAGCCCCGCCCCTTCACCCAGCTCCTCCCTTTGCCTGCTCTTCTCCCACTCCTGCTCCTCCCTCTCCTTCAGACTCTCACTGAATTCTGCCTCCTCCAGGAAGCCCCTTCCACCAGTCACCCCCTGCCGTGCATCTGACATCATCAACGGTTCAGATCAGTTCAGAACGAGCTTTCTGAACCAGTCCAGCATCAACCCTGCAGAGTCACAGGACTCTTGATAGCTCATTGTTCCAATGGTACCCTCCAGGGTTTCAAGGACAGAACTATGAAACCGTGGATTCGGTTCTGCTTTGCTGAGACCCCACTCTACACACAGCCCAGTGCCCTGGGGACCTTCAAGAACCTGGCCCAGCCTCTGCCTGGGGACAGGAATAGAACACAACACAAAACAGTTATTCTGAAAAAAATTTTTTTTCTGGGGCTGGCAGAGAGTAAAAGTACCTGCCAAGCCTGACAACCTGAATTTGATTCCCCAGGACCCACATGGTGGAAGAAAAGAACTCACAAAAGTTGTCCTTTGACTCAGAGAGAGAGAGAGAGAGAGAGAGAGAGAGAGAGAGAGAGAGAGAGAGAGATGAAATTTTAAGACATAGACATGAGCAGGCAGGTGTCAGGGCAGCCCTGGTACAACTTTACTTGGGAGTGTGCTTACCTGAGATCCTGCTCCCATCCGGTAACGGACACTCTGCACCAGCTGCACTGGGTACCAGAGGCTCAGGAACCCCAGGCCCAGGAACAGAGGCAAGGAGGCCAGCAAGGAGTAGTACTTGTAGATCTAGACAGACAGACAGACAGACACTCAGACCGACCATCTGCCTTCTTCCCAGGATTCATGTCCCTTCCCACCCCACTCAGGGCCCTGGGGATGGCCTGGGAACCATGGCAAGCCTTCTGGTTCTAGGGCCTCCAGACTAGATCATCTCCCAACCTTGTGCCCTAATGGCTTAAACAGAACCTAAAGAAAGTGGCACAAGCCCTTCCTATACTCCCATGGACTTCAGTGAGGTCTGACACCAGCCACCCAGTTTCTCAGTTTCTGTGCTCCCTGCATGTTAGGACAGGCACTATTGAAAACTAGACCAAAAAGGGTGCTGGGGAGATGGCTCAGTGGTTAAGAGCACTGGCTGCTCTTCCAGGGGACTCAGATTTGGTTCTCAGCGTCCACATGGCAGTTCACAACTGTCCGCAACTCTAGTTCTGAGTACCTAATGCCCTCTTCTGGCCTTCATGGGCACTGCAAGTATGTGGTACATATACATGTGTCCATATGTGCAAATAAAACTCTCATACACATTTTAAAAAGTTAAATAAATAATAAAGACAGACAAAGACCTAATTTTGTCTAGTATAGTTTGTCTAGTACATGCCCCAGCACCCACATGAGACCTTGCTGGGTTGGCTCCTTCCATGTTCATTTATTTGATTTTTTCAATTTACAGTGTGTGTGTGTGTGTGTGTGTGTGTGTGTGTTTCTTGAGAGTTTGACGTGTGCCAAGCTCTATGTGGTGAACAATATCCAAGTTCCTTAGCAAAAAAAAAAGCTTCTTAATTTTTGGTGTTCGGGGTCTTTGTTTTCTATTTTTAGACAAGCTCTCACTATGTAGTCCAAGTTGACCTCAAACTAGGGATCCTCCTGCCTCAACTTCCCAAGAAGCTGAGATCCATGATGCTTGGAATTTTTAAAATTTCCTAATCTTCACTTTTCCTGGAGAGATTGGTGCTGCCAATGCCATGTATAGGTGGGGAAACCAAGTCTCAGTCTCAGATAAGCGACTCTTTTTCTCTGATCACTTAGCACCAGGTAACATTGCCCTGCTGTGTATTGTATCTCTTCTGGAAGGACAGCTCCTAGAAGGCCAGGGACTTCTTATTTCATGTATTTCCCACCTGAAGATGTGTGTTGGATGAAGACAGTGATTGAAGAAATGAGCAGGTGACTGGGAAGTGAATGACACTATGACCTGGAATGTTGGGCTGTCTGGCTAGAAAGCCAAGGCTCTGGAATGAGGAGCTTTGTGGTACCAGACAGCAGCCAGAGAAGCTGTTCTGGGGTTCTATATGTCTTCTTTAGACCTCTGAGGCTATCTCCCCACTCAGCACTTGTCTCTGTCTATTCTTCCTGCCCAAAGGAAGACTGGGGACCAGGGAAGGATGCTGTAGACTTCCTTGTCCTCACGCTGCCCTCCTAGGCTGAAAGCTGCCGAGGTCAGGGCCCGGATTCCTGCCCCAGGCATCAGCCCCAGAGCAGCAAAGCTTGGCACAGATGTGGGTTGAAGGGCAGGAGAGCCTAAGAATAATGGAGGGAAGCAGGGAAGCCCGGCATGTGGACAGAGATGAGAAGAGCCAAGAAAGTCCACCCTCTGCCCTAGGCCACCATGAGTCAGGGTTACCTTGAAGTCCTGAGGACACTCAGCTCTCTGCCAGACCTGAACTCCAAAGTGAGCCCAGGAAAGCACAGTACCCAATAAGTATGCACTCCTGTGCCCGGCCGTGGCACAAGCAGCCAGAGGGTAGTAAAGGACTGGATAGTAGACCAGGGCCAGTAGCATCCAGGGCCCTAGAAAGTGAAACAAGTGAGAGGCTAATGGAGAGAAAGATGGAGGGCCTGGACCATAGCCGCTAAAGCATCTCTCCTGTCTACCTCCCAAGACCCTCAGCTTCTTCAGGGGGTAAGAGCCCACTTTGCCTGGGCTGGAGCAAAGGCTATGATCTCAGTCAAGTTACCTCTTGATGTCTCTGTCTCCTCGTCTGTGAAAAGGAAAAAACCACAGTGTTTTAGCAAAGGCAAACCGAGAAGTGCTTAGCATGGTGCCTGAGTAAGTACTCAGCAAACTAAATACTATTTTATCATTGTTTTCTTCTCTGACCCTTAGTTCTCCCTACTGTAAACTAGAGCTATTAATATTTTCCACCCTTTGTAGAGACTGTTGATCTAAAGAGGTCATTCTGCGGCCAGAGTACCCCCTACTGACAGACGTTCCTGTTGCCATCACCTCCCCCAGCCAACCTTAACAAATAAACCAGGACCCCGCCCTGCCTTTTCCCATCAGGCCAACCCAGGATTCCCTGCACAGGATACCTAGGCTGGAATCTTCCTTGAGTCCCAGGAAAGGCAGTGGCTCCTCATTAGGCAGCAGCAGGCACAGATTGCTGAAGAGGACCACAAAGACAGCAGTGGGCACTGTCCAGGATCGGTACCCGGCTAAGAAATCCACAGGGCTGCAAGGACAGAGACAGGACGCAGGGAAAGCACTCAGTCTTCAAGCCTTTGCCCCTCCACACTACGCCCTCTAAACTGTGAAGCAGTCAGTCTACTATCCAAAGGGGAGAACGGCGGTCTATCTTCACTGCCCAGTCACTGTCAGCATGTTTGTGGAGAGCCTAGCACCCATCCTGAGCTGGACCCTGAGGCAAAAGGCAGGTGGGAACAAGCTCTTGGTGCTCCTCCCACCAGGGGAGCTCCAGGAAACAGCCACCTCCACGGGAGTAGATCTGTCTGTCTGGGCTGGCAGGCCTTCAGAGAACACAGCGAGTCATAACATCCTTGTGCAACGACCGCCTCCTTGGACTGGGTGTGGACCAGGGCAGAGGGCAGGCAGCGGGCACGGCTGTCTCAGGCTTTTGGTCCCTGCTTCTCTACTCCAGCTGTCTGGTTCTCTAAGAGTCTGTCCTCCTTCATCCTACTCCCCAGCCAAGCTGACTTCTCCCTACATCTTGGGCTGCTTCCACAGAAGTCCCCGATTCCCAGAGGACGTGCATCCGCCACCTTTCCTGACTTTTGCTGTCTCCTTCTTCAGCCAGTCCAGGCCTGTGTCCTCAGAGTGGCACCTGCCTCACTCGCTGAAGTGGGTTTTACACAGCCAAAGGGAAAAGGGAGTTGCAGCCATGGGAGCTGCAATGCTCACAAATCGTGATCCCAGGATGTCCTCAAGGGAAGAGATTGATGCTCCAACAGGAGTTATGGCCACTCTAAGCTGCCTACCAGGGCCTTCATTTTCCTGGAATTCCTTTCCCACCTCCTGAACACTCACGCAGGTGGGCGGAGCAGCCCCTCCACCTGCTTCTGCCACACCAACCTGCCTAAGCCAAGAACGCGGGGTGGGGAGGGCTCCAGATTGAGAGAGACGGGGGTGCTTCTGAAGTCAGAGCTGCCACCCACCCTCCCAGAGGAGCCTTGTCAGCTGGGCCTCAAGTGGGGCTTCCCAGAGCTAGCACCAACCTGGGCAGTCCGGGCCTGCGGTGACCACATCGTGGCCAAAGCCTGCGACGCCTCACCAGCAAGGCCAGCAGCAAGAGAACCAGGAGCTGGAAGAAGAAAGCAGGGGAGGCTTGGGTATCGGGCTTCCCAGAGATCCAAGACTTGTCCCTGCAGGTCTCAAAATGCTCCCTGCCCACCCAATGCATGCTCAGGTGACATCGTGGGGACTGGCTAAGAGATGGCAGAGTCTGCGAGGTTGGACTTGGTCAGTACTTCTGGTTTGGAGGGCACTAGGTCCTTAGCATCATCCCAAATAGGAACATAAATCCCTCTGCCTGGACTGGCAGCTGGTGGCAAGGTGGGCTGGACTTACTGACAGCGAGGCCAGGCAGGCGTGGTGCAGGACAGGTGACACACTGGGCTGGCAGGGGTACTCCTCCCTGTGGAACAACGACAGGTTTGGCTGGATCTAGTGTTTGAGGAGGCCTCACCAGTATCTCCCTCCCTCTACCTCTACCCCAGCCTGCCTAATTCTGCTCTTCAGGGTCAGTCTGAACCTGCATACCCCTGTGTTGTGCTGGTCCTATGCCATGCCATAAGGCTAGAGACAAAGGAATCATGGGAAATGCAGAGTACGCAAACTTGGTCTGAATGTCTATTCTTGTTCACCCGAACAATCCCTATCCTCCAAGGTCCTCATCATTCATCCCCCTCTAGGAGACTCCTTACTGCTCCGAGCCTCATAGACCCCTTTGGGGAACAGAGGTTGAGCCTACCATCAAGTAGTCCAGCATTTAGTCCTGTCTGATTTGCTTCTGGTGCCTGATGGATCCGGAACTGCCCTTCTCTTTCCACATTGCATTCTATCGCATTAAAAGCTTTGGTGTACCGCAAAACAGGTTGTATTAACTACACAAGGACCTAAGTCTGGAATCCAGGCCATACAGTTCTCCATGCTCTGTTGCCTGCTGAACTGAACACACTAAATGAAGTGTCCCTTTTCCTAATCACCACAGAGGCTCCCTGGGGGACTGGCAGAGGTCCTGCTCTGAATGTAGTTAAACACAGAAGGAAGGCCCAATGAGGACCATGAATGCTGCAACTTCCATGGCTGGGTCACGTGGCAGAGAAAGCTTGAGCTAAAGACAGGCTGGGTGCCAGGGCTGGGATAGTTTTCCAGAATGCCCAGCTTGGGTCTGAGAACCAAAGGGATGTTTCCAATGTGAGTGAGGCCTGGGAAGATAGGGGTATGGTGTGTGTGGGATGGGGAGGTGGGGGAGGACAGTGAGGAGTAGGGAGTACAGAGTGGGGGAAGGGTAGAGCTGAAAGGGGTCTGCTATGGCTTGACTTTCCTGGCCAGGAAGCTAGGCCACCCTCTTAGGCACCAGCATGCTACTGCGCAAAGAGGTGCACAGAGCCCCGGGACCATCTGCTGGGTTGGCCTTCTCCCTCCATCTGGCTTTCTTCTGGGGACTTCCTGAGCTCGTCGTTGAGTCGGAGGAGTCAAATGGATTTCTCCTGTACCATTTCCAGCCCAAGTAAGGCTGTTCCCATAGGCAACATGCTTGCCACACAGGGGTGTAGGGGATGGATATCCATTGTTTAAGCTTGGGTCTTGTAGCCTCTCACTCCCAAGTGCAGTATGACCAGTCTCTGGGCCTCAGGAGCACCACTCAAGTCCCTAAACCCTTCTCCATGTCCAGTTCTGCTCAGCCCAGGGCTTCTAGCCTTACCAGGACAGGGATGCAGCATGCTGTCCCCTGAGCAATGTGGCTACTTTCTCATGAGCCCACAACAAACTAAACGCCACCTCCACCCTGGAAACCTTATTTAGGGCCCTATCTGGGGAACCTCTGGTCCTTATTGAACACAAAGTTGCTGACACCTTGGTTTCATGTGTTCACTGGGCATGGGTGGGGGAGTCAGGCTTTGTGAGATTGATCAGACAGCATAACTTAGATATTACCATGGGGAAGGCAAGGAACTCCCTCCCAGGAGAGATACAAGCAGGCACTAAAGAGTGTAGAGGGGACAGAAAGTTCTACCAGGCTTTGAGAAGGAGGTTGAGGGGTCAAAACTGGATCACAGCAATGAAAAGTAACCTTTCCAGTGTTTTGGGACTTGAGTTGGACAAAGGGTTGGCATCTCCATTGGAAAAGAAGGGAAGAGGCTGCCCCGGCTTGTGGAAAGAGCCTGAGCAGGAGAAGACAGCATGGCTGGCACTAGACAAGTCTCTCAGTTTGCTGGTCCAGAGTGAGGCCAGGGGGAGGTTAAAGATGGTATGGGAGGCACTGTGGAGCCCGCCTGTGCAAGGCAGAGGCCTCAAGCTTAGAAGTCCATGGCTGAGTCCATCCTGACCTGGGGCCCCACCCTAGCTCCATCCTGCGGTGCAAGGGTACACTAAGGTACAGAGAGTCTGCATCCTGGAAGTCTTCAAAGCTTTGAAGTAGCATACCCCTGGGGTGTCTGACTCACATAGGCCGAGGTGAACCCAAGTTCATCTCCCAGGGAATCCCCTGTACTCACAGCTTCCCGTCCTCATCGCGGGGGTGGGGGGGCAGTAAGAGGTAGGGTTGTGACTAGACTTATTTTGTTTTGTTTTTTCTAAATAAGCCGATTTGCAATAATCCCTTCATTCTGCAGACCCTCCTCTCTGCAGACCCAGTTCCCACCATACACTCACCTTATTCTGAGACTGCACAGACTCTCCAACAACACAACAAGTTGCAGGCACCTAGCTTCCAGCCCATGCCCAGCCTGGTCCCTGACATTTTCAAGGTCAAGGTTTCTGATTGGGCTCTCACCCCAAGTTAGGAGTTTGGTTTCCTTGGAGAGCCTAGTCCCCTCCTCTAGTCCATGCCTGCATGGCCATGTTGGAGATGCTGGGGGAGGGAGGGTCACGAGGGCCTTGCTGACCACAGACTTCTTCTGCAGGTGGCCAGAACCTTAAGTCCTCCAAACAACAGTGCCTTCCCTTGGGCCTGGGTGGGGCCTCAGTCCCTGCTGGGTGACCCCAATTGAGCCATGCCGCAGCCCTAGCCTCTGGGGAAGCACTTGAGCGTTTTTTTTTTCCTTCTCCAGTTTCAAATTTTAATGGGGAACAGATGTGCACACATCTGGCTTAGTACCTCCCCTCCACCCCATTTCACCCCACCCCCACCTCTCTGCCTCACCTTTCCAGTTCTTCAAAAACCCTCAGATGGAGCAGGGGCCAGGAACAATACAGTGGGAAAGCTGAGCTCAGGGTGCCACGGAGGCAGAGGGTCTCAGGGGAGAAGAGTGCCATGCCACAGAAAACCTCAGTGCCCAGACTAAACAGATAGGAAGGGTCGAGGCCAAGAATTCTCAGGACGCCATGGCTGGACTGCATACACGTCCTCCCTGGGCTAGCCTGTGCATTTACTGCGAGAACCAGGCCTCCTTTCCTTCCATAGCTCCCTAAACTCCACTCAGAGTGGTCCAGAGATGGGCCCAGGGTTCCTCAGTGACTCCCCAAGTTTTCTTCCTAGGGTCTCTGACTCTCCCATGCTTGTAAAGCCCCAGGTGTAAACCTTATACCTGTCACAGAGGTCTGTGACACCATACTGCTTCTCATCCTGACTGGCTACAGGCCAGATGACCTCAAGCCCTCAAGAACTGTTGCTGTCTGGTTTAGAGATAGCTGGAACTCCAGAGAGGCTGTGACTTACCTAGTGTCACACAAAAGATAAATGGGAGAACCAGTGTTACCCGGGGTCTCTCTGCCTCCATCTTGGCAACCTCTCTACCATAACCCTTTCTGATGGCTGACTGAGCCAAATGCCACACTTACCCCTCTGGCTGCACCTCCTCCTCAGGCTCTAGAGGCTCCGCAATGTACCAGTTCATGAATTCATCTGCCACCTCGGAGGAGGTCTGTTTCCCATCCTCTGCTGCCTGGGACGCCATGCTCCAGCCCTTCTTCCTTGAACCCAGACAAGGGAGAGACAGAAAAGAAAAAAATGGCATACAAATGTGAAAAGAGGCTTAAAAGAAGAAAGAAAAGAAAGAAAGAAAACCCGAAACAAAGGAACATTTCTTCTTAATCCCAAAGGTTACTTTCTTGCTTTTAGCTCTCTGGGAAAAGCCGTCTGGGACTTCAGGTCAGGGGAGGGCTGGCGGGGAGTGGGGGGAGGGTGGGGAGGCACCCAGGAGTCTCCTCTATGTCTTTTCCCACCCAATCTTGCTTTGGTCTGACAGAGCTTACTGCACCCCTGGAGTTCCAGGCTCTTGCTAGAGCACCGAGTGGGCCAACTGACCTGCTACCAGCTGGTCCACTTTCAAAAATTTCCCTAGTGCAAACTGCCTGCACAGACCCCTTCCTTCCCCGCCCCAAGCCCACCCAGATGGACCCACAGACAGAGTAGAAAGGGGGACCAAGGAGGAAGGAGCTGCAGAGATGAAAGGGTGGGCGGGCTGTGGCCGGCTCCACATGGTCTGTCCCACAGCTGGGCTCCCCACCCCTCCTGCCCTGGGGTCCAGCACAAGCCCTCCCCTCTCTGCCAAGGCTCCCTGGAGACCATCCACCAGTGTCCGCTTGCCCCTGGCCTGCCCCTTTACCTTTTCAGCCTCAGTGCTGGGAACACACCATAATTCCTGATGAGCTCCCACAGATGGATAGCTGCTGACCCTGCGCATGTCTGCCTCTAGCACCTGCCCTGAAATCTCCCCCCTAGGCACAGCCCCTCTGCAGAGCCCAGCATCGTGGCATCTTAGGACAACACCCTGCTGAGGCTGGCCAGAGACAGGGAGGAACCTATCCACATGGTCTCCTGAGTATATATGAGGGAGAACACACGTGTTACCCTAGTAAAACCTTTTTGTTCTTGTGTCTTGATTTCACAAGAAGATAACTCACCCCCACAGGCGGAAATGAGTCCTTCAAACTCAAACCAGACCTGCAAGAAGATGAACTCCCCTGCCTGCTTCTATGTTTGTTCCAGCCCTGGTGAAGGGGTGAGGGTTTCCTATCTTCCCAGAGGAGCGGGACCCCTGGCTGCCCCCTCCCTTCCCCGGCCCAGCCTGTAGGGAGGAGCAAGAGGCAGACAAAGGGGAGAGAGAGCTCTTCTCAGCTCAGGACCTAACACTCTGAGGTTCCCAGTCCTTCAGTGACCCACAAACCCCCAGCACTGATGCCGAAAGAATGTGAGTCATTCTTGCCCAGATAGGCTTTAAAGTAATTTTAATTACAAAATGTATTTTCATTTATGGGTGTGTAGTTTGGGGGGGGATCACATGCCATGGCAGAGGATGGCTTATAAGAATTAACTCTCCATCATTTGGGTCCTAGTAAGACAGACCGTGGGTCCTTGTGGCAAACATCTTTACCCACAGCGCCATCTGACACCCTCCTCCTTTTAAAAACATTAATTCATTTATTCTTTCAACAGAAACTTACTACGTGCCAGTACTGTTCTGGATGTTGGGACTAGAGAGCTCACAGTTCAGGGTATTAGCCAGTCAACACATTAAATAACCCCAAAGACTGGGGGTTGCAATGGGAAGCCATGGGGTGTCCTGATCAGCCCCAGGGGAACTGTTTTTGGCAAAAGAGCAGTGGCTGTGAGGAGGATTCCTGAGGAAAATCGCCTTTGGGTAGAACTCTGAAGGACCAGCTGGTCAGCAGTCCTGGACAGAGCAGAGGGGAGCTTGTTCACTAGAGAAGCCCCAGGGTGAAAGCTCAGAGTAGACAGGACCTCCATCTCATAAGCTCTCCTCTGCACTGCCAGTCAGGCCTGTCAGGCCTGATGGGGGCCTGAGCCCTATGAACCTTCTCTGACTCCTTCCCCAAGGACCTGTATTCTATGAAGAAGGCTTCGACGTCCCTCCTGATGCCACGGAAGAATTCCTTTCACAGACCTTTCACAGACACAATGCAGGAGCCTACACCAGCCCTGTCTGATCTCAGGGTTCAGGCAAAGCCAGCCCCTAGGCCTTCTGTAGACTCTCTGGGGGCAGGACCCTGCTTCTGAGTCTCCTGCTCTCTTTCTTTCCCTTAGGACAGGGCCTGGCCTCGAGACCACAGACTTTAGAAACGGTCTGGCAAAAAGAGTCCTTGTTCCAGTAGATCCTCTCCACTAGTGGGCCTACGTCATAAGGTTACTATGTGCCAGTGCCAGAGCCTAGCATGTCCTTCACCTCTCAAAGGTCACAGACACTCAGCACAGAGAGCAATCAGCCCCTACTGATTTTAACCCTGCCTCCTGTGATACCTTTAATAAAGAGAGCTCAATCCTGGACAGTGGCCAGCCACCTGAACAAGACAGACACTTCTGGCTGGATCCCTCTGTCAACCTTGTCCTGCCTTAGAGGGGTCCACTGCTACCTCCCAAACCTTGTTAATTCACTCATTCCAAATATCTTATGTGGTAGTCATGTCTCACCTGCCGATGACACAGGGTAATCCCATGAGACTTAGCATATAGGGAGGTAGAAAGGGACAGCTCACTGTAAAACATCAGAGCTGAGGGCAAAATACAGTGGGGGAAGGAAAGAGAAAGAGAGAGAGTTAGTGCAGGGCCAGTTATTTTAGACAGACTATCCTGCAAAGGCTTCACTGAACAGGTGATATGCAGCCTAGGCATGAGGGGAAGGAGGGCAGGATCCCCATCAGGCTGTCTCAAAAAGCCTCTGTCCACTCAAGGGTGAAGCTATATAGACCACTCCTTGCTAAGGCCAGGCGTGGTCACTACCCCCACTCCCTGTACCAAATCTGTTCCCCCTGAGGAGATTCCTATAAATGCTGCCCCAGACCCCAAGATATCACCTCTCTTTTCCCTAGGGAGATGAAGCAGCCACCTTGATGGCAGCTCTACGTCCCTGGCAGGGATAAGAAAAGTATAAAATTTGTTTTTCTCTGTTGGCATGGACCCAGGAGCAGCCTTGGGGCTAGTGCCTGGGGCAGGGTAGCACTGGCAGGGGAAACAGAACAGGTTTCCACACGGCAGTGGGTAGAAACATTTAGGGAGAGGCAGACTACCTGTGCCCTATTGGTTCTGCCCCTGCAGCCTTGAGTGACTCCTTACTCCAGTTGGGTCTTAGCCCCACCCCCATGGCATCCAGCCTACAGATTCTTCTATTGTGGCTTCTCCCCCAAGACTGACTTCAGTGACTCCATGGCCTGAGAATGTGGAGGCACCGCACCAGACCTTGTTGTAGCAAGCATATCAAAGCATATCAAAGCCACAGAGCCTGGCTGTGGCTATTCAGATCCCCCCCATGACTTCTACCTATCCTCTGGTTCCCTCATCCAGGGAACCATGTGCTACCAGCTGAAGACAAACCCAATTCTTAAGTCCAAGGCCCTTCCTCAGCCTGAAACAAGAATAGTGTAGTCTTCTACCCGCAAACCAGAGTTTCCTGCCTGCAAACCAGAGGACTAGCTCTGGGAAGATGGGAATAAATCAAATCGCCTAGCCATATGGGCAAGTCAGTAAAGAGAGAGGTTGGGATCCAGGAATAGTAAGGAGCACCCTTGAAGGATTTCTGCAAAGTCCTGAACAACAGGCCCAGCCTGTTCCTGGGAGCTGGCTCCATAGTGGCCCATGTGCCCTGAAGAACAGCAGGTGAGTTCTACCTTCAGGACAGGGTGCTGGAGAGAAGGGGCAATTTCCAGAAAGAATTGTAGAGACCCGAGGAAAGCGGAGGGCAAGGGAGGAAACACAGCCTCGGGGGCTTCCTGGCAGAGGGGGTATGTGAGGTCAGAGAGATCTAGGCATGGTCACAAGAATGGAGTGTCTTAGTAAGCAGTGAGGGGGATGCAAGAGGCCGAAGGAGCAGAGAGCAAGGGAGGGTAGGGCTGCCCTCCCCAGGTAGCCTCTGTGAGCTCTGGTGACTGAGATGAGGCTGAAACCAAAATGCCAAGACCTCCTCCAGCTAAGACCATTGGCCATCTGGGCTTGACAGGGAGAAGCCTTGTCTCTTGGGATGGAGCTGGTCCCTAAAAGCTTTGGGCCAAGGCTTCCTTCCTCTCAGTGTTTTTGTTCAAGCTGATTAACCCTGAGGAATGTTTGTGTCCAGGAATAGAGGCTCATATGCGCGCCTGTGGTTATCAAAATCTTCAAAGAGCAAAGTGCTAAGCTCAGAAGGCGCCAACAGCAGCTTGCCAGGAATGAGGGCAGCACAGCACCCCAGAACCTCAGAAGGACCCCTGAATACCAGTGCTTCCCCTGAGGCCCCTCAGAACTTCATAAGCACACATACTCATTCGAAAACCCCCGGACTTCAGCCTGGGGAGAGAGAGAAAGAAGGCCCCGGCCCCAGTGAGCAGCAGCCAGAGCCCACAGACCCCCATCACTCTCCACCCTCCTCTCCCAGCCTTAGGCTCTAAATCTAGCAACACACCCCAAGTCTCACAGCACCCAAAACTTAGCTACACCCCAACCTCACAGAAAGATACAGGGCGCTTGGGTTCTTCAGTCTACTGTGGGGCTGAATGGTGGCCCCCCAGAGACCATGCAGCTAAGCAGAAAGGCAGAGTCAGCTCTAAACAAGGCAGAGGGTTGTGAGTGTGCCTACCTGTACATAGAACGCACGCAAACACACACACACACACACACACACACACACACACACACACACACACCACTACCACCACCGCCACCACCATCATCATCAAACAACCCAAACACACACACATAGGGGCCAAACTATCTTGGCTCCATACAGCAGGAAGCAAGTCCATTGGCTGCCAAACCTGAGAGAAGTTAATGTGCGTGTTCTTTATCTCTTTCTTTCTCTGCCAAACAGGAGGGTCAGAGCATCATGGAATGCCTCCTCACTTACACCACCATGTGCTGAACTGGGGTAGGGTGAAACAGAACAGGGTAGCTGGCTGTTTGCGGGGGGGGGGCACATTCTTCCTCTCCCAGGAGAGTGAGTTGGAACGGACCAGGGGAGGGATGCTGGGAACTTTTACTCAGGGCAAAGGCGACTTTCTTACTCTCAGGGAGTAATGAGTCTCCCTTTTGGTGAGATGTTTAACGAAAGGCCACTGGCTTCTAAATGCTACTCAGGCTTCTAGGCCTTGAGATTTGGAGTGACACAATGCCATCAAGAGTGCACAGCTGTAAGGCTGGGAGTCCCCTTCCCCTATGTCCTCCCTGGGTGGCACCACCATGGTACAGCTTCGAGAAGCGGATTTGAACTCTAAGCTGACCACCAATTGCTGACAGATCTCCTGTTGACCACGCAGGACAGGGTTTCCCACTCATCTCTTGTCCCAGAACTTGGGCTCTGCTCTGATGTGACTTTTGCAAAATTCTCATATTTTCTTTCAAGCTCCCACTCACCTCCCGGTATCCTGCCATGCCCATAGTTGCAGTCTGATCCCTCAGAATGACTCTCCCTCTGACCCACCCCTTCCAGCCTCCACAGCCGTAATCCCACGTCACCTGGAGCCTCCCTTGACCGCCCCTTCTGGACTCCTTCCACTCCTTGATTGATCTGGGGAACCGCAGAGTGCCTCTGACCAATTAGAGCCTTCTTCTCTGAGTCCCGGCCCTGCTAGGGCTGGGATCCTGGGGACCGGCTGGTTGTGAAGCCACCGCGGTTCTCTTGAGCAGGGTCCCCATACCTGCTTTAAGTGGCGCTGCTTGATCTCCCGGAAGGCAGCCCCCTTCCAGCCCCAGTCCGGCCCCTCTTCCTGCCCACCCCCAGACCTCCTTCCTGCAGTGCTGGGATCAGAAGAGCCCACCCCCCCTTCTATCCAAGCTCAACTCTGCGCCCCTGAGCTGCTGGGGCCCCACAGGACACACGGGGTGGGGGCAGTGTCTCCTATAGCAGGAGTCTCTCCGC